ATCCGAATTTAATTGAAACTCCTCCATAAATAATAATTAAATATTAAAAAATGTTTTAGAAGATCAACACGAATGTCAGAAAGAAAGTCCCCCCCTTCCCCCCCCCCCCCCGCGGGATCTTTAAGCATTTTTTATAATAAGAGGAAATTAAAAACTGACAGTGAAAACAATGTAATGTCCAAAAGAAGAAAAATTCCAAGAAAACAATAGGGATCTCACATGAAAGATTGTATAGTGAATTTCTATCTGCAGAATCTAAAATCTCTCACTAGATTAATAAAATTTAAGTGGTTGCTCTTCAGTCTCCATTGAACAATAGTCAATTCCATGGAAAGAGGAAATATTTGGAGATATAATGGAATTTCAAAGAAAAAACTTTTTTGAGAAAAGAGAGGAATTTACTAACTTCCCATTTTTATTATTATTATATATATATAAACCAGAATTGTATATTAATTTGCCAAACAAACAATACTAATAAACATATACTGTAGTAATATAAAAAAAAAAATTAGACCTAATTTATCAATCGTAAAATTCAACTTATGAGGTGAGGAAGTCAAATCGACACATGCACCACCAATATTGTGAGATATTAAGACACCCTCCACACGTCCGTCCAGACTAGTCAACTAGCATGAAATGGGGACAATATAGTATGGAGGCAAAATAATATTTGAGTAAACAAAAAATTGAAATGTGTATAACGTCCTTGAATCTTGATATATTATGGTCACACAGACACACTTTATCTTAATATCAAAGCAATTAATAAGTGTTTTGAGTTTCACTCTCTACGTACTTGGCTAGTGAAAAAATTAAAATTAATTATAATATATACATGAAGGGATATGCTAAGAGCATAATAAATACGTCATTGAAAGTGTAGTTTCTCTAATCGCTTAAGTTTTAATAACATGTGATCAATGATTTAGTGAATATATAAGTACTTCAAAGTGATCAACATCGATCTGTGGATTATGTTGTGGTGAATTGGTTACGATTTCTTCATTCTTAATTAGAGATTTTGAGTTTGAATTCATGAAAATGAAAAAAAATTATTCAAAGAGCCAACTAAAAAATAAACTTTACGATGCGTGAATCTAAATTAAATTAAACCCTAATACAAATAATTAATAGACCGAATGAAAAACCAAATAAAAAAAAGTTCACGCACTAATTTAGCATTCTCTCACCTCCATATGATGAGGTACCCCTTAGAATATTATAATGGAATCTCAATTCACTAGCTTCTTATTATTGCCAGATTTCTTTTTTGAACTTATGCTATAAGATTTAAGCTCTTGTATACTAGCAACTTCTTAATTTGCCCAAGAAACAATATTAACTAACATATGCTTTAATGAATGTACACAGAGCATGTGCGCATATATATAGTAGAAAAAAGTTATCCCTAGTTTGGTTTGTGTCAGGGGTGACAAAATTGACCCAAACACATGATCCATCCCATCTGTCGAAAGTTTAATGAATTTGGGCAAAATTGATTTTCATGAATTTGATTTACGCCCAAGTTAATTCATCACAAATCAGATTATTATTTTTTATTCAGACATATAATTATGTGTAATTTGTTCTAGATATATTGTATTCAAGTGAATTCACGCGTATATGAGATACATAGACAAATCTCGCTTGTCTCCCTTCCATTTCGCTCACCAGTCTCCTATCTATTTGATATCCCAGATAAATGTGAATCACATCGATACATACAATGTATGTATCTGCTTGTATCTAATTTGATTCACATGTATCTGAGATACACGACTATCTCCCTCGCATCTTCCTCAATATATGATAGGAAACTCTTAATTAGTGGTAAGATACATAATTATTTGTATAAATAAAATTAGTAAATATGATATAGATGTACATATGCCTATAATAAGATAGTTTTCCGAGATAAATACCTTTTTAAACAATAAATTATTAATATCAAATATAGATTTTCTTTTGTTTTTCCTAATGTTGATTTAACTAACTTAAGTATTAAGAGTAATTGTTGATGGATTCAATTCATTTATATTTTCTACCAAAGCAGAATATTTTTTTTTCATTTTAAACAAAAAACTATATAAACTTTATGCAATATGTTGGTAGAAATGGAATCATGATTTGAAGTTTAGGGGTTTTAGATTCTAATTCTTATGAAATTTTAAAAAATAAATATAAAATTTGAATCAAAGTTAATGAATCGGTCAAGCCCACGACAAATATTACCTTCTAAAAAAAGAGTTGTACATAGTTTGGTTACTCTCACTGTCGAAAGTCAGGATGCAATGGCATGTAACTGCACGTAATTAACAAAGTTAATTGGAAGTTTTGACAAAATAATGGATAAGTTCTTTTGAATGTTTATCGATGAATAAATCCATATGTTTTGATATATATATATATATATATATGATATTATATAATATGTAAGTTTTTACCTATATTACGACTCTTTTCCCTTTTTAGTATAGTGGAAATTAGATAAATAAGCGAGCATCAAAAACTTTTCATAAGCTATATAACTCAAATTCATTAGGAGATTTTTTTTATATTAAGCTATATGTGCAATAATGGTTTGGTTAACCTCCAACAGATATCTGCAATCTTCAATAATACATCTCAAAGGATGAAGTTGCAAGTCTCATCGGCGATAAGCTTAGCTACAAGTAGAACCAATCCTTGTTTAATACTCCATATAATTAAGACCATGAAGTACGTTTCAACTTTTCTAGACAATTGATTGGTTAATGGTAAGAAAGGAAACTATCTTAAGGAACTTTGAAAAGTCAGTTTTCAAAAAATGAAACAAGTCACATTGATATATAATGGACGAAGTAGTCGTTATGAGGGCGGTGAACATCAATTCTACAATTTGATTATTGGTGAAAGTAATTTGCATGGATTTTACGCAATCCCATATGAGTTGTTTTGATCATCTCTAAAGATCCATTCATGTCCATACAAACATATAAATCCCAACTCTAATATTTTCTTTAAATTCCATGCATGCATGTGAAAATATCATACCCCATCCCTCTTTATGATCATTTCACACCTCTCCTAGTCGGGTATTTAGTCCATGTTTGGTATGAAAGAAAATATTCTCTGGTAAAATAAGTAATTTTCTTATTTATTTTCTGATATCTAATAAATAAATAAAAATATTATCCTAAAAATATTTATATAATTTTTTAAAGTAAAAATGGAGATGGTTGGGGGGGGGGGGTAGGTGGTGCCGTGGTGGGGTGAGTTTGTGGTCAAGGGGTGTGAGTGGATGGCAGTGGCAAAACAAAAAAAATCATTGAGGGTGTTCAATTTTTTGACCTATATATTTCGTACAATTTTCTATATACATAATATATTTTTTTTATAAAGGGTGTTCGATCGTGAGCTATGTGGCTACGTACGCCACTAGATGGAATGAGTGGTCGGCGTGAGGTTTGGAGTGGGGGTGGAGGGATGATGATGAGGACATTTGGGGTGTGGGGGGTGGGGTGGGGGGGAGACGATTAATATAAAATGTCATTTATTGAAAACAAGAAATTAATCCAAATATGTACCAAACACACCTTAAATCTTTCATTCTAATAGAGCCCACCATGAAACCATATAAGTTTAATTAGAAAATGTCTAAATCTTGTCCATCTTTTAACTGTATGCATGTATGATGTGTATATATGAGAAGAAAGAATATACTTGCAACTTGCAAGTAGTATGGACTTTGGCTATTAATTGAAGTTAGATATAAAACGTATTTACATATTTCGCCAGAAATTGCACACATCATTTATCTAAGTGAAAAAGAATAATGCAAATATTATTATGCAAGTATTAACTAAGACTGTTTTGGATTTTGGTCCTATACATTGAATTTTCTTGGGAGGATATGTCACGTGGTCTCTTTGGCTGTTGAAAGGACGTTTATAACAATATTTGCTGTATTTTGAATAATATTCTTTTAATTTGATAATTTTACTAAACCACGATGTTAGTTGAAACATACTCTAAGATATTTACATGTTGAAGACTAAACATAAATTTAGTTAGAAAAGTAAAGACTTTTTTTGGTCCAAAGTTTGAAAAGTAATTGAATTACCCTTAGGCCTTAGCCGAACATCAGAGAAGGTGGATTCCACATAGTTAGGCGCGCGATTGAAGTTATGACAGGATATTGGGTCATCTAAACAACAAATAATTTTCGCTTTCAGTATAATTAGTTACGCCATATTGCATAACTCAATTCTTACAAAATTCATGTTGTAAGAGGCAAAAGTTCAGTTTCAAAATCATGCAAGTTATACCACATAACTTAATTCTTACAGAACTTGTATCGGAAGAGGCAAAAATTTAATTTCAATATTCACACCTTATGCCTCCAGAGGTATAACTTAATGCATACAAAACTTATGTCGTAAGAGGCAAAAGTTTAGTTTCAAAACTCACACATTGTGTCATTAGAGGTATAACTTAATTCATACAAAGCAAATGTCGTAAGAGGCAAAAACTCTCTAAACTTATGCCTAGCGAATTTGGTCATAGAATCAATATGCAACTTATGCCACATAAATTAATTCCTACCAAACTTATTCCGATTAAGACAAAAGTTCTCTAAACCTTTACTGAACGAATTAGGTCATAAATAAAGATACTTTGATTCACAAAATTTCATTAAATGGGTAACAAAAACAAAATTAAAAACTATAATATTTGAAGATAAAAATTAAAGATCACAGCGAAATAGGAGAAATCCATGCAAAAGCCCATCATATAGGTGTGTTTAGTTTCTTATATTTGGGCCGTGATTTATTTAATGGGCCGATTGATTGCAATTGCAAAGGCCACCAATAGAAACTCATCACTTCAAAAACCACTACGAAACGGCGGGAAATGCACTAGTGCAGTTTCCTCTTTCGCGCGAAACGAATTGAATCTGAGCACACAATATATATCCTATATAAATAGCAAATAATTATTTTTAATCTACAGAGACGTTCACTTCAGTCGAACACTGCAAGCACTATTCATCTCATCGGAAGTTCAAAATGCCGACAATCGTTGACCGTCGTTCAACACGTGTCTCCGGTGGGAGTAAAGTCGCCGATCCAATCGCCATCAACGGTGAGATTGACTCCACTCCTCAAAAACGCAAACTCAGATCCAGTTCCACTACTGAAGACAGTAGAGTAACTTCGGATTTAACTCCGTCACCCTTGAAAAGCTCTCCGAGCAAATGGAAATCGCCGCGCCGATGTGTCAATGACAGCCCTAAGAGTACTCCAAATGTAATTCAACTTCTCCGACTATGTTATGATTTCATTATATGTTTAGCTGATTCATGTTATTTGATCTTCTGTTTTTTGTGGAATTCAGGCAAATCGAGGAGCTAAAGCAGTAAATCTGAGCAAATCGCCTGTGAAAAGGAGATTATCGGAAAGTTTTCTAGAGAAGCCTATGTGGAATCCAAAAGGTTAGTTTGATTATTTGGTTTAGTTAATTCCTCAAATCGAGTCTGTTTACTAAATAGGTCAGTGTTTGCCCGGAGTTCTATTAATTTGTCTCTAGAGATCTGTGTATTCGTTTGATAATGTCGAGAATCTCTAGCATTGAAATTGACAAATGTGTTGTCTGAATAAACTATCATAGTCCAATTGGAGCAGAATGGACATATTTATTCATATAGCATATCTCGACTACTCTGGGATTTAGTTGTTATAGTTGTTCTTATTTCGTTAAAATCTATTTTAATTTTGTTAAACGGATAGGATCTTCACATTATATCTAGTGTCATGCCATTTTTTAATTTCAAGATGTGCTCTATGCCGTCTCTATCTGTAGATATGGAGCAGTTAAATGGAGTGAAAGAGGCATTGCATGTGTCTAGGGCTCCATCAAATTTGGTGTGTCGAGAAGTTGAGAACAATAGAATTCTGGAGTTCTGTAAGCAAGCAGTGGAACAAGAGAAGGCTGGAAGTTTGTATATCTGCGGCTGCCCAGGGACTGGAAAGTCTCTATCAATGGAGAAGGTTAACAAGGTCCTGGTTAATTGGGCAGAAGAGGTATAGCTTGTTGCTTGGTGTGTTTCGAAACTTGATTTGTTAGTTTGAGATTAATGCTTTTTAAGGAATGATGTGAATACTTTAATGAACTGTATTTCCTTAGTCAAACAAGTTCATCCATCCACTTCATGAACTATATTTCCATTTGCAGTATTCTAAAGTTTGTAGTGCTATTGGCCTAAACCATGTAAAAGATGCTGTCAAATTACTAACTAACACTTTATGTTGTAGTGAATTACTTACTACTAACTTTAACAAATTACCGTGCTTCACTAGGATTGAGATATGTTAAATGAAAGGAATTGGAGCTTCAAATAAAAGTTTGCTATTGTAGTCGCTACAGAACACTTGAAATAATTTTACAAGGAAGAGGTAATTTATTCTGTTTCCTGAGATTTAAGCTTGGAATGGATTTCATTTGACCATATAATATGCAAGTAATGCATTTTTGAGACTCTTAGTATGTTCTTTATTGTGATAATGTTATCTTAAATATTTTTGAATGAATTATTCTAGTTCTTGTACTTCCGTTACTTCTGTTTATGGTCTGCTTTGGACTGCTTTTCCTTCAACCAAGGGTCTATTGGAAACTACCTCTCTAATTTTGAGGTTGGGGTAAGGTCTGCATATACTCTAGGCCCCACTTTGTTGAACTACACGGTGTAGGTTGTTGAATTATAGGAGTTCATCTGTCAGATTAGCGATATATTTGTTGGTGAAATTTTTACTTTTTCTGTATCTTCTACTTGTTTGATTATCTGAGGTTCTTCAAGGATAAATTTTCATGCTGTAACATGCAAAGAGACATGACTGGAGTTGTCCAGACTCGATCGTGTTTCTTTTGGTCATACTATTAAAGTCCTCATGATAAAGGGCTCAGGGGAAGTTTAAGTGCTATATCAATGCTTCAATTTGAGTTTGATTCTTCATCAAGTGCAAGAATTGTTATAGTATTTACTTACTGATATAGTGATATTAAATAGTTTCATAGAGAGCATCTTCATATGAGAGTTCTGCAAGTGGTGAAAGGGTTTTCAAAAGATTTTCTTCATCAACAATCTTCCAAAGATGTATATCCAACTACTCTAAAAATTTTAATCATCCCTTTTTTTTTTGTCCATTGCAGTCTGGTTTTCAGGCTCCAGACACATTATCACTCAACTGCAGTTCTCTGTCAAACACATCTGACATTTTTGGCAAGGTACATTGCTATTATACTGATTCAGCTGCTAAATAAGTCATTTCTGCATGCTTATGCTTTGGTAACAATTGCAGATACTTGACAAAATTAAACTACGGAGAAAGATAAATAGTTGCACATCACCATTGCAGTATCTTCAGAAAATGTTTTCTGACAAGCAGCAGTCAGCAGTCACAAAGATGTTGTGAGTTTTCTTCTAGATGTTTTAGTAATTTTTACAATTGGGCCTCCCTTTTTTCCTTTCAAGATTCCATGGTATTTCAAGTGAAACCCTTGATGCCTAAAATGGTAACTCGAAGAAGCATTGATAGTGCTTGTTAGGTTTTTTATTCAAACTATTTCTCTGCTTAATAATGTAATGCGTTGAACAGGTTAATAGTTGCTGATGAGTTGGATTACTTGATCACAAAAGACAGAGCTGTGCTTCATGAGCTGTTCATGCTAACAACGCTCCCGTTCTCCAGATTTATTCTGATAGGTACTGGAGCTCTTGGACTGCAAACGTCAAACTTTCTTGGTCTAATCATTTTATGTTTTTCTAATATGACTAGTTTTGATATTGTCAAAAGAAGCTATTATTCTGCTAATGATTGCTCCTAATTGGGACTCTGCTTTGACAGGAATTGCTAATGCAATAGACCTAGCAGAAAAATTTCTTCCAAAACTACAATCCTTGAATTGTGAGTATTTCCCTTTCTGTAAGATTGTTTCTTTCTAAATCATATTCTATCTTCTCTGACTTCATCTAGTTTAGGCAGAGAGGTTAAACAGGTCTTAGCTTGTGGATCTAAGTATTTAAGCTGTTAATAAGTTTTTCGCACCAAGCTTCATAATGTTACCACAGAAGATATTTTTAAAATTGTTGAACCCTGCTTAATGACTGCACCAAAGAGTTGTCCAAATATGTGGCAACACAAGCAATTGGACAGAGAATGTCAACTAGCTTTGGTTATGGGTTCTTTGATTTTCTGTAGTTTCATAAAACAAAGTTATTTGGTACAAAGCACCTATTTGCCAATTCACCTCTTAATGCAGCTTATGCTAGATTACTTATTGTATGTAGAATAGTATTTGATCTGACTTATACATTACTTTTCAGGCAAGCCAGCAGTGGTAACATTTCGTGCCTATTCTAAGGACCAGATCATCTCCATTCTTCAGCAAAGATTAAAGGTAACTCCATGGCTAATACTCTCTTCTTCTTCCTGTGAGAAAAATGTGATAGTTCTACCAAATGGATATATTTATTTAATGCAAGTTATCTCTATATCGTGAGTGGGTATGGGCTCAGGATATGAGGACAAGTTCAATGATTGGTGTCATAACTCATACGTATCTAAAGTTTGAACTCAAGTGCTTCCAATGATATGTTACTGACGCTTTGTTGTCGAATCAATTGATTCTAATGTCAGAACCTAGAAGCCATTAGAAATTGCTCCACTTAACTTGCATACTACTACAGTAACTTATCTGCTTCCTTTTTGTCTATAAGTTTAATTGAAAATGTGAAGTCTGCTGATGATATTTGCAGCCTGTTTTATGTTATCTGCATAAAGCATGACCCTAAACCCTAAACCTGGTGCAAATCATTTCTTATGGTTAATAGAGTGACTAATAATTTTACTGCTGAACAGGCATTTCCTTACACAGTCTTCCAGCCTCAAGCATTGGAACTTTGTGCACGGGTAGGTACATTAACATCTGCATTTTGCTTGGTTTTATTTCTGCCCTTTCTATATATGCAGTGAGACTACACATTTGCCCATTGCTACTTCAGACTTCTGATCCATGAATTATTTATTTCACAATCCACTGTTTCCTAATATAAGTGCTTCTAAAATGGCAGAAAGTTGCTTCTGCATCTGGAGATATGAGGAAGGCTCTATGGATATGCAGGTTTGTGAATATTCCTGCAACTTTGTAATGGCCTAACAGCTTTGTAATTTAATTTGAGGAGCTGGCATTTAGTCATGGAGTTTATGACTGGTAGTGTGAGTTACTGGCGAAAAAAAGAAAGGCATAAGGAGATTAATTTTTCTTGCTAATTCGCTGAAGTATTTTTAGCAGAAGTGATGCTTAAGTTCTCCATTGAGCACTTGAGAGTATTAATCCTAGATCATGGATTTTTCAAGAGCTAGTTGTACAGCTTTCCCTTGATTATAAGTAATTTTTTTCCTTCATTGTTGTTTCAGGAGTGCAATTGAGATGTTAGAATCTGACATAAGAGATTCTATCAACAGCCTTGATTTACCATCATTACATGGAGGAGTTTCTGATCAACAGAGGGATTGTGCTTGTGATAAAGCACTTATACACGAGAGCAATGTTGTGAGTATTGATGTCATTTTCACTCGTTAATGTTTTTGAGTTTGTAAACTAGTCATTCTGGAGGATCTACAATTGAGAGGGTACCTCTGATTTCTATAGCCAAGTCATAGTGTGATCCCAACTTCAGCATCTGCATAGGTTTCTTCTCATTACTTCTTTTCCTCTGATTCCATATTATTAAATTTTCTGTAGATATTAATCAAATCTAGAATTTGAAAGTATGGATTGAAGGGTAACAGAACAGCAGAATAAAGATAGTGTTGAACTTCTGTTGCTTCACATTTGTGCTTGTTTGCTCCCTTGAGATATCAAATTCTACACTAATGGAGCCGAAGCAAAATATGATGTATAAGTATTTGAGAATTATAAACAACTATAATACTCGACCTCATTGTTCGTATATGATAAAAACACACCAGCATTATTCCAGCTTGCAAACCTACCGTTTTATATTCTCCCTTATGAATCTGCTAGTAAGGGTCAGTACTAGTCTCAGCTGCTTATTACTGAATTTTTCACCAACATACAGGTGGGGTTTGGGGAGGGTGGAACACAGACCTTACCCCAACCTTGTAGAGATAAAGAGGCTGTCACCAATTACTAAATTTTTCCTTTTCAATGAACACTTTGTTCAGCAATCTGTATCTTTTATATTTTCTTGGTCCCTTAATCTCCAGTAAGGTCTTAGCTGTAATTTCATGAATTGTGTATCCTCATTTGCTTTTTCGCTTTACATAGCATGTTGTGTTTTCTCAAAAGTTGGAACCCCTTAACAGGTTAGGGTTGATCATGTGGCTATTGCTTTATCAAAGGCATATAGATCGCCAGTGGTGGATACTATACAATCACTTCCACAACATCAACAGGTAAATGTTCCCAAGTTACTTGAAATAAGAAGATATCTACTGTTCATTTGGTTTCATTTCCTAGTAAGTTTCTAGTTATAAGAGAATTCTTGACCCTCCACCAAAGAAGAAAGAAAAGGAGAATATAAAAACCAATTAACGAAAAAGGAAAGCTATTGGATTATGGTTGAAGTATCCAGACATTGATGAAAGTATTGAAACACCTTTAAGTATCCAAATATTTGTGATGGCAGAATTGAATGCAAGAGCTAGAATCAAAAATAGAATTGAATGCTTTCAATGATGGTGCCACTTCTTTATGATGTTCTTCAACATTAATGTTGTATGGCATTTAAAAATATCATGGTGGTGAGTAATGCTTAGTATACTGCACTGCAGATTATTCTTTGCTCTGCTGTCAAGCTATTCAGGGGGAAGAAGAAGGATGCCACTATAGGCGAGGTAATTTCTATTTGTAACTATAATTGTGAGATCTAAGTAGGCATAAGGAGAAACGAGATTTGAAACAATTTGTAATCTATTGCAGCTGAACATCTCTTACCTTGATATCTGTAAATCAACTTTAATACCACCAGCAGGAATCATGGAGCTATCAAGCATGTGTAGAGTGCTAGGAGACCAGGTAAAGTGTTAAATAAACTTACATGTTGCTCCATTTCGGTCTACTTTTCTCTTTTTCAATCATGAGTGCTTTATTAAAGACTGGGAAGAAGAATAACTCAAGGTGTACATAAAAATGCAGGGGATCCTAAAACTGGGGAAGGCTAGGGAAGAAAAATTAAGTAGAGTAACTCTAAAGGTAGATGAAGCAGACATCACCTTTGCATTGCAGGTACAAATTTATGTCTTTGCTCTTTTTTCTGATCTGGTTTCTTGGAGACACCTGCTAATCATAGTTGTATAATTTTCAAGGATCATGTAGTGATTGTACTAATATTTGACACTGATTTTGGATCAGGGAATACGCTTCTTTCGAAATTGTCTTCAACAATCTTGATGACTGACTTAAACAATATTGTGTTTCTCTATTATTTATTCCGTTGCTCAAATAAATTGCCAGTTTATGGTCCAAACATGAAGGTACGTTTTTTCCCTTGTATTTCGGTTGATGCTATTGGAACGGGATATATGTTAACTCGTTTGTTGTGTGTGAAAACAGAAATCAAACTTGGTCAAAGTGGCTATATATGACTTACGGATGAATGGAACAGGAACATATGGGTTCTCCATTAAATGTTGGAATTTCCATGTGGCTCCCTTATCATACTTTTAGTTCTCAAAGAGAAAAATACAGTACATTATAGGAAGAGACTATCAACTAAGAGAGTTGTGGATGTATACGGTAATACAACATTGAATGTCTTTCAATTTCAAGAATTTCTGGAAACAAATTTTGACCTGTAAACTTTATCGTATTATTATCAGATGCTGATTCTCATCTTCAAGAATCAATGGAAAAAAAAAAACTTCAACATATTACATTATTTTTCTGTTCTATAGTGAAAGAAAACAAATAAGGTGAATAACTTTATCCCTAGTTTCTTTTATCTTTAGAAGTCCCAATACCCTTTGTACTAGGTTCCATACTAAACTCAGCTTATGAACGGTACCGCCTGCGGTGATATTTTGTGAAGGAAGTGGTTCATCTTCTGAGTTGTCACAAAAGAAGGGAAAAGGAGATTTATAGAGCCTTAAGTATCTAAACAAATCACTATAAAAAATTAACTGAACATTGCTATCACCCAAGCAAATATAAAGCATTCATTGGTCCTTCTGCATGATGAAAATATTGCAGATCAGAAAAAATTGATTCTCGTTATGATTCCTATGAACCTGAAAAGCAATATTTCACACTGATTCTCCACTTATAAAGCAATGCAAATAATCATAGAGATGTGCAAATACAACAATCAAAGCTAATAAGAGGAACAAAATACTTAAGGATAGCTCAAATTTTAAGTTAGAACTCCACTGAAACAAAATGAACTAATATCTTCAGTGCACAAAACATCTGAACGAAAGCAAACCAAATGGAAATTGTTCAAAAGTATCCTAAAAGAGACACCAAAAATAGCATTCATCATAACTAGTACCAAATCTTAGGACCTGATAGGTAACAAGCAAACAGGTTGATGATTAAACAATTCAATCAAACAATCCACCAACAAAGTCATCCTCATCCTCTTCCGGTTCTTCTTTCTTTTCCTCCTTAGCAGGAGCTGCTTTAGCTTTAGCAGAAGGAGCAGCTGCAACTGGAGCAGCAACAGCAAACTTGCTTGGGTTCTGCAAGTTAAAGAATTTTGTTAAGATAATGTCAAGAAGAGCAGGTTTATATTAATTAAAGGTCTTTCGGAATTCATAGTTAGTGCAAACCTTCAAGTACTCTTTCACTTTTTCAGCCTGAGGGAATGAGTACTCTGTTGCAATGGCAAATGACAGAACATTCTTGTACGAGTTGATGAACATGTGTGGAATAGCAGCAAGAGTAGGATAATCGAGAGTCATGGAGAGACCAACAACATTTGTCAGTCCAGCAGCAAACCTAGCGACAAGATCATTATCTGTGAGTTCAAGAACCTCAGGACTGAAAACTGAGCCATTGTCGTAGACAGACTGGACTATCAGGCCATAAGAGAATGGCTTAATGAGCAACTTAGACAGAAGGGCAGACTCAGATGAGCCCACTTTCTCTCCCTTCTTAATAATCTCCACAGGGGTGATGATCTCAACTGTGCCTTTGTTGATTTTTGTTGGGATATTTAGTACCTAAAATACACCGGGAAGTAAGATCATATATAATAAACAAAAGCATTAGCAGCTTAAGAAGCATATCTTGAAAGAACTGAACCTGAAAGAAACTGGTCTGGGAAGGATCAAGTCCAGTGTTTCCAGGAGGAACAACCACATCAATTGGAGCAACTAGGCCAACGCGAGCAGGTGCTCCAACCTTTTTCATTAAATGTTAAAGTTAATATTCTCATACTTCACATCATAAACTCAAAAACAACAGGTGAGGATTGGTACACTCAGATCAGATGATTGATCTGCACATTTTTAAACGGTAAACAAAGCAAAAGGCTAGCTAGTCCTTGAATGCAAATAATAGGTTCTTGTTCCAGAAGTTCATTTCAGGGACAAGTTGATTTAGTATTAATCTCTTTTACACATCCACTGATGATACACAAAGAGTTTTTTACGTAAAGGAAGAAAAACGGAGAACAAAAAAGTAAGACATTAACATATTTTACCTTGTACTTGGAAACTTCATCACTGACTTCTTTCAAATCTCCTTTGGTGAAGATTAGTCCCACATTACCCTGTTACAATATTACAAATGGGGTTAAGGCAAATGCCATTGTTGACTAATTAAATCAACTACACATCAATCCCAAATAAGCTAGTTGAATTAATAATATAAATTCTCTATCTGTTTAGACTCAATTTTTGTTCAAATATAACAAGTCACAGACAATGCTGTTAATAGTACACCAACAATAAATTAAACTTGCCAAATTCCAGCTAAAGTCCTTCACCCCTTACCTCTTAGGGAAAAAAATAGTACCATTTCTTTCGTCCCAAGCAACCAAAATACAGTAACAGTGATTGAAAGAGGAATGGGAGAAAAAATGGATCACCATTCTGACATATAAGGATATCCCAGAATCATTAACCAGATCTGAATCTCAAAACTCAAACAAAAGAAGGAAAGAAATAGTACATTTTAATAAATTTCTATCGTGACTTTGAACATCCATTTCCATTTTCCAGTAATATTTTTGTTTAAAAAGATTACAGTACATAACTACATATAAGAACATTATTTAACAAAAAATAGCTAAAACTTCCGATTCCTTTTGTTCCAAGCATTCAACAAAACAAAATATAAAGACCTCAAAAAATAAGAACTCCTCCTTTATCCGAAAAAAAAATAGTGGAGCTCAAAAACAATGAGGAAATAATGAAAGCTTCTAGTGTGATTTTGAACATACATTTCCGATTTTTTTGAAGATGAAAAAGTTAGAATACATATTATACGAAACAAAAACAAAACAGCGAAGACGCAGAAATATAACCTAACAAATCAGTACTGCTATGATATAGTAATATGATAAAAAATGAAGAAATATGAGCAACAATATAATAGTATAATGAAGAAGAAATGTAAAAACAAACCACAAGGCATTCAATGAGAGCGAGAAACGCATTATTTCCGGTCTTCTCTGCATGGATCCTGATAGATCTCTTCATCATCGTGTTTTTTCCCATCAATACGATGGAGTCACCACGTAATCCCTTTCGAATCATCTGTAGCTGATTTGAACCCACATTATCTGCTCCTACAATCAGGATCTGTTGATACGTATCGAGAAGCTTACATAGCTTCTTGTCATAGCTAGCCTTCTTCTCAGCTTTTGTTACCTTCACCGCCATTGCTTTTGTTTTTTGCGAAGAAAATGAGAGAACAAAGAGAGAGCTAAGAAAAATGGTGAGAGAAGAGTGAAAAATGGGAACCCTAAAGCTCAATATATATGGAAAAGGTGGTCAGGTTCGCAGGTGCAGGGAGACTGGTGCTTGTACGTAAATGGATATACGTTCACAGAAACAGTTAGAAAAATTCCTAAATGGGGAACTAAAAGTCTTAAAATTTATATTTTGATTTCAGTAATTAGTATAATTTCTTTATTAGATTAGGCAATTTCAAGTCACCTAAAAAATTATTTTTTATCACGAGTAATTAGTTCATGACAAGCCATTATTTTATTTGTTTTCACTCTTTCATTAACCAATCCAAATTTCCGGTTAGGACGTACTGTGGAAGTAAAATTTTCACGATTAAAAGTGATTCTATTTGTATGGCTTGAATTCAGGACCTTTAGAACCTTTAATTAAGTACACCTAACAAAGTATTGTTTAGATATTTTATCTAATATAATAGGTCAAAATATATCGATATTGTAAAAAAAATGTTGGGTGAAAATTAATTTCTAACAACTTTTGATCGTCATTCATGGACGAATAGCGAGAAAGACACGGATCAGGAAAATTTTCAGGTGACGTGAAGCCTTCTATGACTTATATCAAATGGGTTTTCCTTCACTCTAGCTAATTTGTTTCCAGTTTTTTTTATTTGAAATGGGACTTACATTTTATTCATTTGAATTATTTTGTTCAAAAGGTCAGAAATTATAAATTGAAAATTTAATATTTATTAAAATTTAATTAATTTATATTTTATATTAAAATATTGAATTTCGTGGAACATGCAACCAAAAGCCACTGAAAAAAAAAGAAGAGATTTTCTTTGTGGTTTATTAATTTAATTTTGAGTTTAAATAGTGAATTTCTTGGGCAGTCGTAAATAAAAGTTACCAGTACTAGTTTGTCCTATTCATGTGCATTTTCAGCTGGCTGTTGTTTCTCACTGAAAAAGATTCAAAGTTACTTATCTGTTTATTTGTTATTCTCGTAATATATTGTTGTATTATCTATATCTATTTAATTCTAGTACTAATAGCAACATAATTCTTTTTAGGAAAGGACAATTTTTTTTCTTCAAAAAACATAAGTGGTATATCAATTTTTTTTTAATCAAAACAACAAAATCGCTACTGAGGGAGTGATATTTTTTAACTTTGTTCACGCCGTTAAAAACTTCAATTAAAATAAAAATCTTCTAAATCATTTATCTTCTAAAAATCTTCAATTGAAGTTTTTAACTGCATGAACGGAATTAAAAGATATCACTCCCTCAGTAGCAATTTTGTCGTTTAGGTTAAAAAAAATTGATATACCATTTATGTTTTTGGAGGAAAAAAAGTTATTTTTTAGCTCCAAACTCGCCAAAATTTGCTAAAAGAAAAGGAATGAATAGAGAAAGAAAGTAGAGTTATTCTTTTGTTTTTTCTTTTAATTAAGAAAGTGAGTTTGAGGGGAGCAAAACTAGAATGTATTTTAGGGTACCTTTAATTTGTTAGGAACATAACATATTGATCTTTTTAATAATATTTTTAAATTATAACTGTTTTTCATTAACAAATTGTTAATTTTGACTAGTTTCATATTTTTTCTTATTATAATTAGGGCGTTCTTTTATGCTATGATATAATACAATTTTTGAAAATTTCCATTCAATAATTTTAGTTTTCGATTTTTCGAAATACTTAGCTTATTCTAATCATATTGAATTAGCCAGATATGGTTCAATAGTTTTAAGTTCGATTTCAAGTTGTACAATATATAAGCCAATATTCCATAATCATAATTTGTTTGACTTATACATACATTAGAGAATTATGGCTTCTGCCTTCTAATATAATAAAATGCGATATATAATTAGGATTCAAACTTGTATTTTAAAGTAACTTTTTGAACTCCTTTTATGACTACTACTACATTTATTTCTCTTTTATTAAAATTATATTTTTTGATTTACATATAATTTAAAAAACATTTTATTATATTTACATAATGTAATTTTTCGACGACCAACCTCTTTCGTACCTTTAAAGTACTAGATACACGATCCCGTGCCAGCACGGGGCCCAATATCCATTCGTCTCATATTAATTGATTACTTTTCATTTTGCACGATACTGAAGAAATTATAAATAAAAAAATAACTTTACTAATTCAACCCTTAAAAAACTTTGTGAGAATTTTACAAACAAATGTGATACTTTCAAAAGGAATTAACGGCAAGGGTATTATAGGAAAATTTTAAATAATGTTTTGTTGATTTAGTAAGATGATCAACTAATATGAGACAACTGTTTTTAGAATAATAGTCAATTAATATGGGACGAAGGGAGTGCCATAGAACTTGAAAAGTTAGCCAAATTTTTATATGATTTTAAGTTGTTAGTACTTTTTATATAATTTTAAAAATAATATATATTACTCTCTTTGTTTCAATTTACGTGGCATATATAGAATTTCAAAAATTAATCATTTTTTATATGTCTTTTAAATATTTAACGTAATTTTCATATTATATATGTTACTTCTCCTGTCCCAATTTATGTAGCACTGATAAGATTTTTTTAGAGTCAAGTGATTTTTTATATGTATTTTATACTTTTTAAATTGTTAATTATTGTGATTTATAAATTGATACCAATAGAATTTCGAGAGTCAATTAAATTTTTTATATAACTTTTAAATATTTAATTTGTTAATTACTATGATTTATAGTATTATTTATATTTATACAATTTTTAGATATATAACAAACTAAAAAAAAGACATAATTTTTCCATATTTGGTAAATAAATAAAGTAATTATTATTTTTAAAAATGATTTTACCATAAAAAATAAAATGAAAGAAGTTATGAGGTATAAATAAAGGAAGGGAAATAAGACTTGGGACCTATATTACATGCATTAATTAATAGAACGAAAGTGGAGAAAAAGAATGGCCACATGCATGGAAAGTAGACAATTTTTTTTGCGGTTGAAAAGTAAAATGTAGAAGGGCTTTTATGTCCCAAATTTTAAAAGTACAACTACAAAAAAGTGAAGTACAATATTATTCATTAGAAAAATATTAAAAGTTGAACCAAATTGCCCTTAAGTTTTCCTAAATATGACAAAAAACAGCCATGTTGAAAATCAAAAAACTGTCTCTTCTATATAAGAGAAATTACACTTCCTATTTTAATTTGAAGTACTACCCTTCCTCTGTTTCAAATCAGATAGCTTATTAATAATTTGTGCACCAACGTGTATAAGTTTTGTACGTAAGAAAAGATACATTAGTTCATGCTTGTATATGCATTGCATCATGAATAAGTGCATTAGTTATAATTCATACTTGTATATGCATTGCATCATGAATAAGTGCATTATTTATAGTGTTAATTTTTTTTATCATTTAACACGTATATTAATATTTACTCGCATAATTAATATTAATTTTTTTTAATAAAATAATACCTCCATATTTATAAGTCCTATTCAATTTGCAAAAAGACAAATTGCCAGGTCATTGCGGGCAAAACCAAAACTAAAGATGGATACAGCTTACCTTCTTGATAACTTACAAATTACGTAAAAACCTTATTGCATATCAGAGACGTAATATTTACATGAATAATAGATAACATATAAGTTTATGTTAGAATACACATATGATCATGTTTTAAAACACGTATGCTAGAATATATAAATTTGTATCTTTGAAAGCGCGAGCAGAAAAAATAAAATTTTCAATTCTAATTAAATACGGACACAACTAGGGTCACGGACACCTAGCAATAACCAAACAAAATGATAACGTCTTGCCACGTGGCTGAAACTTTCGAATACCTCCTTTAATAGAAGTTCATATACTAGTGAACTAAATCACTTGCGTGTTGAAGTGTATGAGTAACTAGTGTACCTATCCGCGCTTCGCACGGTTATAAGAAAAATTTTAATATATTTTTAAATAATTAATGTCACTATTTGATAAATGTTTTAATAAATAATATAATAAAAGAGAGAAATAAATTAAAATACGATTTTGATATTACTTATTCAGAAAAATCGCTAAATATAAATTTTTATACTGATAAAAGAGTTGAAAATATAAATGTTGATATGAAAAGCTTCAGTTAATTGACAATCTAATTATCATAGTTTCATACTAAATTCAATAATTTTTATAGAAACATTATTGGTTCAATCAACAATATTAAATCTACTCGATCATAAATTACGTGACTTTATATTTTATAAGTGACACAATAATGCAAATAAATAAATAAAGATACATTTATGGTAAATCATAGTGAGAAAGAAAAATACTTGTATTATATTCTAACATAGTTGTGCACGAAATTCAAATGTTAGTGACATATTTTTTTGATGTTAATATTGACACTCATCTAATGCAATTTGTGTCTCATAAAATTCATTAATATTAAATTTTGTGTATTTAAACTCCCATTTTTGTAGAGACATTGCAAGAAGGGAGAATTAAATTGCAATAGTGCAACATTACGATTGAAGTTATATTTTTACAATAAAAAATAAAAAAATTAAACACATAACATAAATTGAGATAAAAAATATAAGTCATGATATCATTTAGAGACTTGGTGTGATATTTACCTAATCCAATTGTATAGAGATTATCAAAGAGCGACAAAGAAATAGTTTTTTAAAGTAATACGTGTATGCAATGTTGAAGATAGGACAATAAAAAGTTTGACAACATTAATATAATTATTTTTTTCATTAAAATATTATCGTGGTAATTATTTTAAATAAATTGAAGTAATAACTCTCCAAAAGATAACTCCTCCTTTGATGTAGAAAAAATAAAAGAAGCTTTTATTTGCTTTCAATAATAATCAATTTAATACACATTAATCATTTATTCACATTTATTATGGGAAAAAGAAAAAAATGACTCTTATTATCCTTATATACACCCCATTTATGAAGTTAAGAATAAAATTAATTTTTATATATGATTGTTTAACACTTTTAACATAAATTTGTTATTGAAAAAATTAAGTGATGGAATTTAAAGTTTTTCTCAAAAATAAAAGAGAGTTAAGGAAATTATGTTTTTAGTTATTTATTTATTTATATGTATATAATTCCTAGTTTTACTACACATATAAATTTTATCATTTTTTTAATAAAAAAAAATTAATACCGTTATTTATAGGACAACAATATGAAATATCAAATGATATCATGAACATGATTATTAATATAATTTAAGAGTTATGATCATCAAAAGTCATTAAAGTATGAAAAATAAAGATACTTAAATTTTTATATTAAACATATGAATCAATGAAGGAGTAGTAATTGATACATTCATTTTTGTACAATAGTAAGAAATAAATAAATAGAAGAATTGTTCAAAAAAATAAAATAAATAAGATTCTTGGCCAAAGAAATGTGCTACACCACTTTTTTATATCTAGATAATTCTTATGTTGGTACAAAAAGTAGATTGAGAGTGAACATCTTCACTAAATCATTTTTATCCTAAATAAATACTTTTGTATATCAATTCTGACCAAACATATTGTAATAGTGATCTCTGAAAATCTCAAAAACTTGAGAACTTCTAATATTATTATTATTATTATTAATAATAATAATAAATAAATAAATAAACAAAAAATATGAAGACTATAAAGTTCCATATCAATAAACATCTTTTTATAAATTATACAATATTTTAAAATTATGAATTAACTTAACATTCTCGTGTTCCATCATAAATTAATAGTTGATTTACATGACTACAAAACTATATACACATGCTTTATTGAGTAGCATACATGTATGTCTTGCTTTCTTTTTCGCTTCTATTTTCAATAATATCCTGACATGAAAACGAAATAAGTTAACATTACAACAACAACAAAATATAAAAATGAAGTTAACTAATCAAATAAAAACTTTAAAGAATATTTAATTATGAGTTAAAGATAAAGGAAGGATTTTTTTTATCAATATAACAAAACCTAATGCTTCAAAAACAACAAAAAGAAGAAAACAAGAAATTCTCTATAGACTACAAAGAGAAGCAAAAAGAAAAAATCAAACAGTTTTGTCCAAAAAAACTTTGTGATTCATATTATCATGAATTCAAAAATAATAATATTGAATGTATAATTGCGAAAGAGAAAAAGTGATAACTATATTAGGCACATCAAATAGTTTTACCTTGTTAAAGCGAACTGCATAAAAATATCTAACAACCTTCATTATAGATCTCTCCTGCAAAATTAGATTAAAGAAGACAAAAAATTAACCAACAAAAGAGATAAAAGATAAAGAATGAGGAAAAATGTAAAAAACTAATAATCATCATATATGTCTCAAAATAGGTTTTTATAAGTGTGATTTTAAGATGACATAAATTTGTATATTAAATTATTTGAAGGTTATGAATATGAAAGATTAGGAATTATGGACATTATTAATATTTATGTAATTGAAGAGGTATGAAAATAAAATAATTGAAAGAAATAAGAGAAGAATGCCAAAAAAAACCACAAAAAAAATAAAATAAGAATCAAACCACGTCACCGTTTTCATATCCAGCATTATTATATAATATATAGATTTTGGGGATCGGAAGAAGCTGTTGTTAATTTCTAAGCCAATTATTTTTGGGGAAATTTCCAATTGAGGGTTTAATTTGATCATCAAACTATGGCAACAACTAAGGTCTACGTAGTGTAAGTGATCGCCTCCTTATTCAACTGAATGAATTTGCAATAGCATCTGTCTTCTCTGTGTTAATCAATCTTTTGTTTTTCATAATTTGAATGGTAGGTATTACTCACTTTATGGCCATGTGGAGACTATGGCACGAGAAATACAACGGGGAGTCAATTCAGTTAAGGGCGTCGAAGCAACACTTTGGCAGGTAATCGCTCCGGGCTTCGATTCCCGTATTGAAGTCCGATTAATTTAAATTCACGCTGCACGTAACCTTTTTTTTTGGGGGGAAGCGCTCCCTGCCGAGGCGGGAGGAGCGGACCTTATGAGCATAGAAGTTTCTGCTTTAGCTTTATGGGTTTCAATTTTTACTTGAATTTAAGTTATATATACTGATTTTGTAAAAAATAATAATTCATTGTTGATGTAGGCGGTTCAATTTTAATATGTGCAAGCAGGACAAAAACATTTTTTTTTTCTTTTTTTTGTGTTTATATAGGAAGTCTTGAATTTCATTTAGGGAAGATGAGGTTTTAGTAGAGTTTAACAGGTGGTTCAAAAATTACTTAAGGTGGCGAGTTTGAATTATAGGTGTGCCAAGGTCTTGCATTTTATGGAATTTCTTTGTTAGAATTCTTGGCTCTGCGGCATGCTATAATCGGCTTTTAATCAAGTTGATAAAGGTTAAATTCTATTTATTACTAGTTCCATGAATTTGATCCGTAGACATGTAGGTTCCGGAGACGCTTCCTGAGAAGATATTGGAGAAGATGAAGGCTCCTAAAAAGCCTGATGATGTGCCTGAGATCACACCTGAGCAGCTCTTGGAAGCTGATGGTTTCATCTTTGGTTTCCCTTCTCGTTTTGGTGTGATGGCTGCCCAATTCAAAGCCTTTTTTGATGCCTCCGATGAGATATGGGCAACTCAAGCGTTAGCTGGTAAACCTGCTGGAATCTTTTGGAGTACTGGTTTTCATGGAGGTGGCCAAGAGCTTAGTGCGTGAGTACTTCATTATCCGTTCTCTGCTTTGTTTACTCTGTGCTGTTGTTGCTTTCACCTGTATAAATTGACCATCAAAATAGAGTTCTTGACTTGTATTGTATTGAGTTTTTAGGACTAACTATCCTGCAAGACTTAGACTGTAGACTGTAGTATAAGGGACTGAAGAATTTCTAGTTACCTAAGTACTTCAACTCGGTATACGTATGAAGTTAGAGATCTTTCATCAGTAACTGTATAAACAGTATGAGGATTAGCGCTTGACGAGATCCATAGAAGTAATTTGAAATTTTTTTCTAGTGGCAAGTGGATTGAAGCCTAGAATTGTGTTAACCAACCATAGTGGGGGAAGTTCATGGCTTTGCTGTTATTTCATCGAATAATTTCCAATTTCCGAAGTTCTTACAATACTTAAAGGACTCGCTTTGACACATCAAAAACTTTTTGATCTTACAAGAAATATAGTTGTACCATCAACTATCCGTCTACTCCCAAAAACACAGTTTGCATTACCATCCCCTTGTTCATTTTGATCTTGATATTGCATAAAAACCAAGGCCACAAATAAGAACATAAGAAATCAATTACTCACGTTTCCCGAGCAGGACACATACTTCATGAAACTGAATAAGTCGCGTTTAAGATCTTGTTATTATAGTCTTGAGAGTGATTTTTGATTCAAATGTCTATTTCCAGATTGATCAACGCTCCTGAAAAGAACATGCAATAGTTTTCTTTCCTCTTACTCTTTTTCTTATTTTGGGATGAATCATGCAATATCTTTCTATCATTGTAAGACTAAAGGTCCAAATCCAGCATTTTGGCTGATAAACCCAAACGCAACGTAGACAGATACATGAAGTTTCTCATGGATTGTTATATCATTTGGAGAATACTATTTGTTGTCACTACTGTTTCGTATATTCATATCCTCTCTTTTTATTGAGTGTTTTTTGTTACAGTTCTTTCATTGACACGAACTCATGTTGATTGCAGACTAACAGCTGTAACTCAATTGGCACATCATGGCATGATATTTGTTCCTCTTGGATATACTTTTGGTAAAGGAATGTTTGAGATGGATGAGGTGAAAGGTGGATCTTCCTATGGAGCTGGAACTTATGCTGCAGACGGTTCTCGTCAGCCCACAGAACTGGAACTTCAACAAGCCTTCCATCAGGGTAAATATACTGCTGAAATTACAAAGAAACTCAAGTAATTGATCACAGAACAAAAGAGCAAAAAGAGAAAGTTAAAATACAATCAAGACATATTAGCAATCTATCACTGAAATGGGAAGTCCAGAAAAGTAAACTCTGTCTACAAATGTACATCAATTGTATAAGCCTTTTTACTCTGTAAACTATGCTTATATTCTGTTCGCGTTAATTGATGCTCTACTCTAACCCACGAGAGTAGCTGAGTTTGTTGAGCAAGGGATCTCAGGTTTGAAACCCTTCACATGTTTTCTCTATTTAGCTCGTTGCACAAGATTTGCCTAGTGCGATTTACCTCTCCTATGATTTGTTGGCTATTATACTATAGCGGGTTTTACCTGTGCGCACCAGAAAGTAATTGATCTTCTACCTGTTAATTTGTTAACTGAAATGTAAATTGATCCTCTATGTAAAATTTAATTACCTGCCCATATGCTTTCTCCAATAAGCCTATGTGGCCTAATGGTTCCTTTTTCTATCATATTATATAAAAATTTAAGAAGCGAAAATAGAACCCAATATGTTCTAAGAGAAAAAAAAATAATACTTGATAATTATATTTCCATTATCAATTCTTCTAAAAATGTGGCATTAATTTATGTGGCTGAATTTAAAACACGAGGATCTAATTATTAATATTTGGATGTAGAGATTTTTATTTGCTTAAAATAAAATTTGCAGATTTACAAGTTCATAAAATATTATAAACTAGTATTGTTTTATAAATTCCGTGATATTAAATTTGCAGATTCACGGAATTTATAAAACAATACTTAAAACCTACCAGTCATTAAAACTAAAACACTATATTATCTTACATACTCCCTCTGTCCTAATTCCTTATCCACTTTTCCTTTTTTAGTTGTCCCTAATTACTTGTACATTTTGACAAACCAAGAAAAGACAAAATATTTTTACCTATTAAACCCTCAATTAACTACTTTGAAAAAGGTAGAACTTCTTGAAAACCTTAAGTTTTTAATTCATCCACTTCATAATTAATAGGGGTAAAATGGTAAACTCATTATGTCAATAATTGCTTTCTTAATAGGTGTGTCAATTCAAAAGTGGACGAGTAATTAGGGACAGAGGGAGTACAAGATTACGTAGTAACGAACATTAATAATGTAAAGAAAAATGAAAATTATAACATTTTATCATTTATCCTTAATAACACAAGCATAAATTAATGACTGTAAAAAAATATACCAGTATCTGTAACAATAGAATGAAACAGAAAGGAAAAAATCGAGTTCACTGAATGCACAATGTCCCTTTATGGAAATTACTCCCCTCTATTACCCGATGTTTAAAGGAATAGATTCTCTTAGGATAGAACAATTTTATTCACCAGTGTATTGATACAAAAACAGTTGTGTTAGCGAACCACTCAACAGGAGCAAAGCACACGAATATTTAATTGTGCAGAAGAAGAAGAAGAAGTTCAAAATTTTTGTTGTTTTAAAATGAGAGGAAATCCCACTATTTATAGACAACAAAGAGTAGTGTGAACAATTGTTTATTGTGCCTTATCGAAAAGGTCACAACTATTTGGAAAAGTTGTAACCTTTTGAAAAGGTCACAACCTTTCATTTAAGTCACAACTTTTCATAAAAGTCGCAACTGTTCATAAAAGTCACAATTTTTCATAAAAACCGCAACTTTTAATAAAAGTCACAACTTTACATAAAGTCACAACTTTTCATGAAAGGAGAAGACTAATTTTGAAAATAAATAGATTAAAAGGGAATCCTGATTTGTGGTGGCGTCACGTAGACGAGCCTAAAGTTCTCTTTTATATAAATTGATTATAATTTTATTGATTCAAAATATTTTGAAAATGTTAAAAAATTATATAATACAAAAATATTATTGAACTCTCTAAATAATAAAGAAGACACATCAAAGGAGTAATAAGTTTAATTTATCTAAAATACAAAAGTGTTAGGTATTTTATAGTGAGATCATCACAAAGATCATATCAACCATTTAATATTATACTGTAATGTTTTTTGAAAAAAATTAAAAAGAAAAGTATTGATCATTTTGAGACCCCGACAAAATGGAACTAATGCTAGCAATTTCGGAAAGATATTAATTCACTATATTTATAACATATATATTGTAACTATCTTGTTAGCTTTCAACCAAAAGCTAACAAGATTTTTAGTTACATATTTATTATTTAGTTAAATAATAAATATGTCATTATATGAGTTATTTATTACTCATTCCTTTTGAATTTGTTAATCTGATTTTGATCTGACACATAGTTTACAAAAGTAAATTAGATTTTGAGAAAAAACATTAAGTGATACTTGAAGTTGTCCTAGATTTTCAAAAAGACACCTTAACTTTGCGTGCGTCCTATTACCCCACAAAACATTCAAAATCACAATAAATACACATTTTTTACACAATATTTCCACTTTGGACAAAAATATCCTTCGAATGTGCAATTTCTTAAAAACAAAAAGTCGAACCCATTATTGATGTATTGAAGGATGCTTTGGTAATTTCCTATGATGAATCGTTTTGTTTGTTTCTTTTAAATTTGTTTTACTATACTAAATAATTGTATAAAATATTATGAATCACGATAATTAATTACTTAAATATTTAAAAGATATAAAAATATATAAAAGATCTGATTGACTCTTCAAATTTTACCGGTGACACATAAATTGGGACAAATGAAATAATATATATTATTTGAAAATTTCTTAGAAAGTACTATAAATTACAGTAATTACAACAACAACATACCCAGTGAAATCCCACTAGGTGGGGTCTGGGGAGGGTAGAGTGTACGCAGACCTTGCCACTATCTCGTGGAGGTAGAGAGGCTGTTTCCGAAAGACCCTCAACTCAAGTACTATAAATTACAGTAATTAACAGCTAGAAATATTTCAAAGACAAAAAAAAATGATTGAATCCCAAATTTTTTTTAGTACTACATAAATTGAGAAAGAAGAAATGACCTCTATTATTTGAAAATGGCGTAAAAGTATTACAAATCATACAATAAAAATTAACAATTTAAAATTTTAAAAGACTTTAATGCTTTATACTTATTTTATTTCCACTTTGGACAAAAATATCCTCCCAATATGCATATTTTTTTAAACAAAAAGTGGGACCCATTATTGATGTATTCAAGGATGCTTTGGTAATTTTCCTATGATGAATTCGTTTTGTTTGTTGTTTAATTTTTTAAAAATAATAGTATAAAATATTATAAATCACAGTAATTATTTACTTAAATATTCAAAAGATATAAAAATATGTAAAAGATATGATTAACTCTTCAAATTTTATCGGTGACACATAAATTGGACAAATGAAATAATATATATTATTTGAAAATTACTTAAAAAGTACAATAATTTACAGTAATTAACAATAGAATATTTTAAAGACAAAAAAAATTGATTGAATTTCGAAATTTTATTAGTACCACATAAATTGAGAAAGAAGAAATAACCTTTATTATTTCAAAATTGTGTAAAAGATATTACAAATTATATAACAATAATTAGCAATTTAGAATGTTAAAAGACATAAATTTTTTTTTACCATAGTTAACAATAATTAAAAATTTACACTGTTTTAAATTAATATTAAAATTTGATTAACTCTTTAATTTTGTTTTTGTCACATAAATTGAAACAAAAAATGATACATATTGGGCCCGTGCTAGTACGGGCTCCGATGTCTAAGTATATATATATATATATCAAAATAATAAGTACTCTGTCTCTTCATCTTAAATTATATGACATTTTTTTTTTTTTTGAGTCAATTTAATTAATTTATAAAAAATAAGTTAAATTAAAATTAAATTTAATATTTTAAAACAAAAATTTATACCTCTAAAAACCATATAAAAATATTTATGCAAGTGTAATGTATCTTATATCAATATGATTAAAATATATTTTAAAATATTAATTACGTTTGAATTTGAAATGTCTCACATAAATTCGAACTAATCGCATTACAATAGCCTTGGATATGAAGAAAATTTTGTTGGGAGTGCCATCCCGAATGAGCCCTACAGTGCGCGATCCAGATATAATTGGAGCTCTAATATGGGCTCCGAGACAAAAAAAAAAGAAAAAGATTCGACATATAAATGAGGAAAAAAATCCATTAGCAGTGACAGCGAAGCACTACGATCTCTAATCCGTCGTTTCGCCTGCGATAAATAAAGATACACATCACAGAATTCCGCCCAATTCGAAGCCCAAGAGCCATCTAAAATGGAGAGTCTATTCCGATCAGTGACCGGCGCAAACCCTAACCCCTCAGACTACGAGGAAATCGAATTTTGGTTAAACCCTGAGCGAGACGGATGGCTGACGAAGCAAGGAGAGTATATCAAGACCTGGCGCCGTCGATGGTTCATTCTTAAACAAGGCAAGCTTCTCTGGTTCAAAGACCCTTCGTCCGTCACATCCGCCGCCGTTCCGCGTGGAGTTGTCTCCGTTGCTGAATGCCTCACTGTTAAAGGAGCTGAGGATGTAATCAATAAGCCTTTCGCCTTTGAGCTCTCCACAAGGCGTGATACTATGTTTTTCATCGCCGATACTGAGAAGGAGAAAGAGGAATGGATTAATTCAATTGGCCGATCCATTGTTCAGCACTCGCGGTCTGTTACCGATTCTGAAGTTGTTGATTATGATAGCAGGCCGTAGTTATATGTGAGGTGCATGTCCTATAACTATTTGTACTCTTGTTGTGTTTCTCTTTTCATGTTGTATTCTGCAAACTCTGTTGTAACTTCTGGTTCATATGAAGCTTTCATATAGTTGTATGAGTGTATGTTCAATGAAAAAGTTTGGTTTAATCACTTGATATTTAACTTAAAAGATATTTATTTCAATTGTAATTTGGATATAATGAATTTGAATAGAGCTGTAATAGACATAGAGGATTTATAGAGCCGATCACAACAATGTTTGAGATTGAGGTGTAGTTGATTGATTTTGATTCATAGGGTTCCTTGTGCGCAATTCGATCAAGTGCTTTTGGGAAACATTTTCATTTCATTTGTAGGGAGAACCTCTGAGATGAAGTGCTCCGGTGTGTTAACTGTGCAGAATTGATGAGTCTAACTTTTCCTTTTGGCAGAGATCAGAGTTTGAATAGTACTCTATTTACTTTGTGAGTGTGACCCTTTGATTTATCTGTTAGGGAGCTAACTGCACTTGTAAATGAATAGTACCTTCATGTCTATTGGCTGGCTTCTATTTCTAAGTTATCCTTTTGAAGTGTATAAAGGTGGTCTACATAAACTATATCTGTCACTGGAGAAGGGCAATTTATAGACCACTGCACGTAAAAGGAAGAAAAAGATGATAAGAAAGCGCGAGCAAAGAGATATGTCAGTTACTTTTGCTTGAAGCAGAAGTTCTAAATAATTTATTTCAGGCTCTGTTCTCTCTTCAATCTTCACCAGTAGGGAAAACCGTTATAACTTCTTGTAGTTCCAAGAAACTTTCTCATATAGTCAGTATTCCTAACTTTATGTATGGAAATTGGAATATTCATTTTATACCTGAAAGTTGTACCATACATGGAAGGCTTTTAGTAGAGGTGTCAAATGGGTGGGTCAAATAACCCACCCAAAAGCTACTAGGGAAAGTCTTCCATGTATGGCACAACTTTTAGGGACGGAATTTTCTGGTCCAAACGGGATAGACTTTCAGTTCTAATGAAGTCTATTCCATTTGGACCAGAAAATTCTGTCCCTAGATTTAGTCAAGTAGCTTGTATGTATCCCAGATCTGCATATCATGTAATGCCATCTCGAGTATCAGACCGTCTTGAAATGGTTCAACAGCTGGTCTCTTTCCTATTAACAAACCCAGTAAAATGATGTGTGCCTTAAACATCCCATTGTTTCGGTGCCTCAGACCTATTCATACTCCGGAGATTTGGAAAATTATCACTTTGATTTCATGCAATAGAATGAATTATTGAATTTGGAGGGTAAGATCTAAACAAAGGAGAAACCATTGAGCTCTTTTTCTTACATTATTTTTTTCCTTGAGAAGTTGTGTACCTGGAGCTGCATGTCCTTTGGTTCCCTAAATATCAGTAGTGCTGAACTGACTCATAGTGTGTACCAGCTGCTTGTCTTGTGGTTCCCTTAATATCAGTAGAGCTGAACTGACTCAAATCTTTGTCTGATTCTGATCCTGAGGGGTTCTTGCAAAACGAAGTCACTTACATAGCAACCAAGGAGTGAACACAAGGATGTCTTGTTCACCCCAAGAGAAGTGTCCCTCACTGTCACCATGATGGTAATACCCTGGACTGTGAGTTGGCATACAATTCCAAGACAAGATCAATATTTGCTGGAACCACCTGAGACCACCACATAGAATGTATTGTTTGGTGGATGAGGGGGAAGTTTCTTTGGAAAGCGGCCTCATCAACATCCCTTTCATGCAAGAACCTCATTGATTTGAATTTCTTGTACCAACTCTTCCCTCATTCTTTGACTTGGCAAAAGGGGCCAGCGGAAGAGGAGGCAACATTGTTTCCTTTTGATCAACCTATTACCTAGACCACATAAAGCATTTATTACTTAGTGCACAATTCTTCAACCAAAGAGGGTCGGAACGACCCCACACTTATTCCTAACCATCGTACAAAAATAAAAAAGGAGCTAACTAATGACTATAGAAAACTCGATTGGGAATGAGTAGCAGGCCACTGCCTACGTCGGCTGCTGACTTGTGCTAGTAGTACTCTTCAAGTTGGCACTTGATTTTCTTCCAATTTTTTTTTATCTAAATGAGTGCCTAAGTGTTCTATGATCATCCACTGAAAAGCAAAGTCTACATGGTAATGTGATTCTACTTGTTTACTTTCTTTAAGAGGAGGATATAGAAGATGTATACAGGATTCATGTTGCCGATCTCAACAAGTTTGGGATTGTGGCACAAAGATTGATTGATTTGACCCTCGTTTAGGTGCAACCAACTGTCCTAGCTGTTGGCATGAGATCCTTGGTCTCAAATTTTTTAGTTGAGCAAGCAGTTCATACCTTGAGAAGATAGCAGTTTGAGACAGTCTTTACAGCTTGGCAATCAGCCAAGATACTTTGGAAACCTCCGTAGTGCCAGTGTTTGTACCTCAACTTTCAAACAAATGTTTCATCTTGACTGAGTGTAATACCTTAGTATATGAATTCAAAATGACCTGAACTGATCACTGGTTAATATATTGCCTATAGGTGTGATGTGTTTTTTTATTCTTCACCTTTCTAGCTCAATGCAGCAAATGATAACCAAAGTCAGAGCCATTGGTAGAAAATGTACATCAACTCTTCAGCATTTTGCTTCTGGCCTTGTTAGTATTTGAGCAGTCCAGGGCTTCAACTGCAGTTCTGGTACATCTACAAGATTTGGGTCAATTACCAGCTAGCTCAAGCAGAAGTTGCTATCTGAAAATGGTATCCCCCCTGTGAATTCTTGATTTCTATATAAACACTTGGTAGCTTTAAGAGCCTTTGAAATGCTGCTGCCCGGTCAGGGAATTCTTACCTGTCTTAAACAATCAAGTTGACGAGGTTTAAAACATCAGTAGGTATTCAGTATTCACCCTCCGAGATTATTTCCTTCTGTGTATTTGCATGTCAGTTCGTTGATTGATTAACAACGGAGGGAGACGGTACTCGGCCAAATTGGTTATAGTTATCCCTCTCCCTTCTTCTACTTCGTCCTCTTCTTTTTTTCCTTGTGTTTTATTCATTTCTTTCAATTTTTCCAGGCTTGTCTTTTATTTTGATTGATGACATAGTACATAGTTGCTATTTTTTCCCATTCCTTTTATTTTTTCTAGAATTTTCAATTTTCTTCCGTCTTTCAGGGAGTTTTCTCTATAGCAAATGACTTGCACAAAAGAACACAGCCATTTTAGAGAGAATTTGACAAATGGATAAATACATATGTTAAAGACAAAAGAAAATAAGAACTTCTCCACAAACAAGTTTTCCGCAACCACAACACTAAAGCAGGATAATATCTTCAAATTGTCGACGTCGATGATTTTTAGAAATGAAAGTTGAATTAGAATATGGACCTCTCCCTTAATTTTTTCCAAACAATTTTGAAAGAGTGTGTAAAAAGGATTAATTAGGCTATGCAAGTGACAAATTCGAACTTCAAAGCAGCCTCCCAGTTGTTGTTTTGTTTTTTAATTTCATCCGGTGTGCGAGCCAGACTATTTCGAATTTACGTTGTGTAGGTTTCCATTTGGAGGGAAGCGCTCCCAATTATTGGTTTGTTTCTTTGTTTGTTTCCTTTTCTTTTAGTTGTCACATTTTGTTTTATGGAATAAGAGTTAATTTGATAAATTTTTAAAAACTATACGAAAAATACTATAAGTTGCAATTTTTTTCATATTAATATTATAATGTAATAAAATATCTTGATCAAAATTTATACAATTTGACTCTTGAGAAGAACATGTGATAAATAAAAGTAAACAGATGAAGTTTTAATAAAAACACTTATAAATATTAGAGAATTATTTACAAGTGAAGAAAATAAAAGTGGCTTTGCGTTAATATCTTTATTTTTATGTACCTTTTCGTTTCAATTTGTTTATGCTATTTTTCCTTTTAATCAATTTTAAAAAATAAGTATATTTTTCTTAATCGATTATTCTTTAATTTTAACTTTTCATATAATATATCTACAAAATTAAAGAATATTTTTAATTTGATACGACAATTAAACTTTATATCAATGATAATACAAACAAATTTAAAGGAAAGTATATATACTTATACTGTATTAGATTTCAGCATTGACGAGGAGATTATGGTGACTCCATACACCCAGGTTCTTCCCCTTCCACGTCACCAACACTTTCCAAAACCGAACCCGATTTCCAAAACTGTCATCAACGACCGGTATTTCGAAAATCACCCGCTAGTTTTACTCATCGATAAATGCCAGAGCATCAAGCAGCTCAAACAAATTCATGCTTACATGCTCCGTATTGGCCTTTTTTCCGACCCATTTTCAGCTAGCAAACTCATAGAAGCTTCTTCTCTATCGCATTTCTCAAGTCTTGATTATGCCCACAAAGTGTTTGATGAAATTCCTCAACCAAATCTTTTCTCTTGGAATGCGCTTATTCGTGCCTATTCTTCTAGCCAGGACCCAATTCAAAGTATCTTGATGTTTGTTAATATGCTTTGTGAGGGTCGTGAGTTTCCCAGTAAATTTACTTACCCATTTGTGTTCAAAGCATCTGCCAAGATGAAAGCTTTACGATTTGGGAGAGGACTTCATGGGATGGTAGTTAAAGGGAGGGAAGTTGGTCTTGATGTCTTTGTTCTTAATTCTTTGATTCATTTTTATGCTGATTGTGGATGTTTGGACGAGGCATACTTGGTTTTTGAGAATATGCAGACAAGGGATGTTGTTTCTTGGAATACAATGATATTGGGTTTTGCTGAAGGGGGTTATGCAGATGAGGCATTGAAGATGTTTCATAGGATGGGGGAGGAGAATGTGAGGCCTAACGATGTGACAATGATGGCAGTTTTGTCTGCTTGTGGTAAGAAGTTGGATTTGGAGTTTGGTAGATGGGTGCACGCGTTTATCAAGAGGAATGGGATTAGGGAGAGCTTAATTTTAGATAATGCGATTCTTGATATGTATATGAAATGTGGGAGCATTGAGGATGCTGAGAGATTGTTTCACAAGATGGGGGAGAAGGATATTGTTTCTTGGACAACTATGCTTGTTGGGTATGCAAGGGCGGGAAATTTTAATGCAGCAAGAAGTATTCTGAATACTATGCCTAGCCAAGATATTGCTGCATGGAATGCTCTTATCTCAGCTTA